ATATTACTTTTTAAAATCAAATAATACTGACTAACAACAAACAAACTGTTACCTGTGTGATCGTCAACAGTTTCCCCAGTATTTCCTTTCTGACGTTTCTTTGCCCTTATTCCACAGGTTGCCCAGCTACTTAAACAGCACAACAAATGGAAATCCTCTGCTGTAAAACCCAGATTCTGAAGAAATGGCCGACCAACGTACTGAGGCCACGAGCAACAATGGTGACAACAAAGGGCCAATATTATTCCTTTCACCGAATCTTCACTGGGAGCTATCTTTAATCTCTTGCTTCCCCTGTATTTTAAAAGGTTAGACGTAAAAGTACTCGTGTGTGAAGGATGCGGTACTATCTTAAAGTGCAAAACAGACATCTGTTTTACCTGAAAGTTCATTTTTCAATGAATTGTACTTCTCAGTAAACAAGCAACTTGCGGCATATCCAGAGTCTCTTCAGTATCATTCTTCGAAAATTCATGGGGGTAAAATTTTTTCCAATAATGCTACATTTGTACCAGCTTACTTTTAAAGCTGTTGTCTAAAAAGTAAACAGCTTTTGACTCCGGACAATAAATAACGAAACACTAAAAAAGGCATCCCAATGAAAATAGCGACCCTAACAGGTTGCTAATTCCGAGGGTAAAAAGTAACAAGGGCCGTTATTTGGTGTATTTTCGGGAACGTTACGTTATTTTTCATTATTTAAAGATCATTGTTTCTCAGCTGTTAGAAATGATTGATCGCTGTCATTTATGGATCTTTTTTATTATTATTTATCTTATTTATTTGTATATATATTTTTTAATTTGTTAAGAAATAATTTTATTTTTTATTTCTATTTTTATTTCATCTTCATTCTATTATTGTATTTCTGATATTGTAATTTATTTAATTTATATTGCCTTGATGCGAAAGCGTTGTCAGTTAATAAATGTAGATGTAGATGTAGATGTAGGCAGTTCAAATATACTGAACTCTGTGCAGAGCATGTGCTTGTGCAGTGAACCATGAGTTTAGTTGTCGACGCCATGCAGTGTACATGACTTATTTTGTTGGTTCTCACCCTTGCTTCGATGGTTTTTTCCAGAGGATTAGGTTAACTATTTACTCTCCCTTAAAATCAACATTTCCAATTCCAGTTAAATCTGGAGTACGTAGACAAAGACAGTCAGCAGGGTACTCACCGATCAACAAAACTATCTTCTGCACTTGGGCTGCTGACTTCTGTGTTCTGAGAATTTATCAATGTCTCCATCAAGCATCTCAGAGTTAAATCTACGACAAGCAAGAATTTGTCTCGTTGTTATTATTCAGACGACTGGTTAGCTCAGTTGATCATCTTTTCCACCACCGGCTGTTAGCTCCATAATTGAGCTTATTAACTGAGTACCAAACTTCAGAGGCGGTATGAAGCCTGGGGCAATTGCTGGCCAGACCCATACTCAAGGTCTTAAAATAACTGAACAGAATGTGCTGCCTTTCATTTCACCTCTAAAGAGGTTAGACATTGACATAGTTTTCGGATGAGGACGAAACACCCAGACCCACTCTGGCCCCCGTGAGACGTGAAATAATCACACCATTCTTCCTAAAGAGTAGAAGAAGGGGATCCCAATGGTACTGCTATGACACTCGCAGATTGAGATAGCAGGGGGATAGTAGTGAACTGATTCAGGAGTACACCATTAAAGCATTAAAAGAAAGAGTAATTTTAGGAAGAGTTTCCTGTAACATGTTAAATAAAGAAAAATTTCTGATGTCAAACCAAAGAGGACAGCAACTTTTAGTTGCCAGTCCTTTGGCATTGCTCTGAGTGCTCGCTATCACTGAACGAATCAAACAGCTCCAATTCAGTTCGTTCGATTAATGATTTCATAGTAACACACTGTTTCATGCAACTGCTCCACACCAACTATCTGAACCCATGTAATAATTTCTGTACATCGCACAGGAAAAGCTCTACAGGTATTCTCTTTCACGGGGGATCTTCGGGCTTCAGTTTGACACGCAACACGTTACGAAAAGGAGTGTTGCATAACGACTAAAAGAACCGTTTTGTGGCAGGCCACCCTTAAAGAGATCTTTGTGTGGACATCTTACCTGTAGCAGCTCCACATAAATGCTTACTGATTGCAACAATATTTTGTTCTCTATTTTTAAGGCAAGGTACTTTACCTGCAACACAAAATCACAATGATTTATTATTAAAATAGCAAATTTTACTAAGTAAGCTTGTTCTTCTGTTTTGCTTATACATCATTGGCATGAAAATCAAAAACTTCTTGAAATTCACCAAGGTAGCTCACCAAGGCATTGTAATACAAAACATTTTGTTTAACAGAGCAGCCAGTTGTACATAATAAATTATTTCAAGTCAATATCATGTTATAGCCTTGTACTGACGCCTCATGTAAGGGAATCCAAGCCAGTTTTGGATTCTGGATTCCACGCCATCCCAGATTCCATGCACTGTATCCCAGCCCTTGTCAGTGGAACTTGGATTCTAGATTTTAATCGGTAGTGGGATTACGAATTCCTTGAGTTGTATCTCGGATTCCAAAGTCCAGGATTCTAGATTCCACAAGCAAACATTTCCTGGATTCCGGAATCCGGATTCCCTTACATGGGGTGAGGTTCCCTTTTGCGCAACATCTGCTGTAGCAACACCTCCTAACCCTCCCTGTTGTTATTCAAAAATTTGCACAAAATGTTGGTTAGGCAAAGAATTAATGATATAAATTGCTGAATATTTGCTTGTGTTCTTACTAAGGTCAAGGTGTTCAATATCCAAGTTCAATCGCTGGAAGGACGGGCCTTGATCCTCGCCTCTGTGATAACGATCATACTAACGACAAGAAAAGAAAATAATTATCATGTTAAAAGTACAACAGATTCCACATAATGCTCCCCTTCAAAAACTTTCAGGACACTGGGCAACATCATTATTTTGGCATTACATTTTCTAGGATCACTTACAGTTCAGTGTACATGTAGGTTACTTTAATACAAGTTGTGATTGGTTAACCAAAGGGTTACATGTAGATTTATTAAGACATTTTGCTGCTTTGTCAGTATTGAATAACAACATATATAAATACAACATTATTTTTGTGGAGAGATTGTATAAAGAAAAGTGGTAAAAATAATGGTTATAGAGTATCCCTCCAAATAATTTCCACAAATAAAAAACTGGTATTCACTTACCTTATATCTAATATTTGCTCTGTCAATAAGAAGATAATTTACATCCGTAGCATTATTTCCTACTGCCAACTGTAGCCAGTGAGACAGTTTTCCTACAAACAAACAATGTTCAGACTCTACACTACAAAAGGTGTTTTTATTAAATATAAAATATTGGATGATGAATTATTAGGCTAGATTAATGGAGAAGTTAAATGATGAGCTACTAAAAAAAGAATATCATTCTACACTATTCTTCTCCCTTCCATAAATACAGCATACTTTTAACAGCGCCACAGGAAAGCACTGCTCAGTAACACATTTCATGCTTTCATTCACAGACTTGAAGTTAGAACCAGCTTATACAGCATAATAAACAGCACTGCAGGAAAGGCTATTCAGTAGCTCTATTCAGTACATTTGAATGGTCACAGTTCAAGACTTCATCCACAGAGTCAAAAGTTAGAACCACCTTGTAAATTTAAATTGTAAATTGTAAAATTGTAAAATTTGTAAATTGTAATTTGTTTACCCACAGAGCACTAAGGAGTTCATAAGAACTCGCTGAAACATGTCCATACGTTCTATATCGAATTGGAATTTGAAAGTGTTGGTTTTTGATTGTACAATATAATTAACAATTATTCCTTGAGCCCGAATGGGCTTTGAGTCAATAGCCCATGAGGCCAAAGGCCTGATGGGCTATTGACTCAGAGGCCATGAGGACAAGAGGAATTTATTGTTTTAGTAAAATCCAACTAGTTGGTCAAAAATATTGAGAATAAAAAAAATTTAGCAAGTTAAAGCTAGACTTTGATCCTTTTTGTTGCCAAAAAGCCAGCGGTTTTTGCTACTAGTGGGTTATAACATATAGCCTCGTAGTAGCTCAACCAATCAGAACGCAGCATTGCTAATAGACCACTAGTTGGATTTTACTAATAAACAGTACCACTGACAGGAAAGGACTGTCCACAAAGCTTACATATTGTAATTGTCAAACAACATTCTTTACGGTAATGCTATTTTTTGGGAAACTAACCGACCTCTTCCAGCTCCAAATTCTAAAAATGTTGTTTTTGGCTCAAGAAGATGTTGTTGTTCCAAATGACCAATAAGAGAGGCCTGTGTATCAAGGAAATACAGTCAAGATGTGTGCAAAATAATAAATTTTAAAAATGTGACTCAATAATATCAAAAGCTGGACCTAACTATGGAAGGAAGACTCATTAATAGCTTGCTCCAATTGGGAAGTGGGGTGGGGTTTTATGCAAAAAATAAACTGCCAAAAATAGATTTCTGTCTTTTCTCTCTCAAGTCTCTCATAAAAAAAAATTGATAATAACACACAATCCATCAACAATTCCAAAAATGTCTTTATATTATTACTAGTAATAACCAAAGTTTAGGGAGAGCGAGCAGTAATGATCGGAGGTCCAAACTCTTTTGCTCCAACACTGTGCTTTGCTCCTAAGTTTCACTTAACAGATGGTCAAAACACGCACGGATCACACTACGAGGGGTAGAAGGCCGAAACGCATGATCAAATTGTGTTTTGTGCATTCCATACATTCTTAGTGGAAGTCCAAACAAATGCTGGCTACATACACTGTACAAGCAACGCATGCGTAATAACCTGGAGATTAGGATTGCAGGCTCCTCTTGTTACCCGCAACAAGGCATTTTTAATTACAGACAATTAAGAAAATGACATGAATGAAAAAGACAATATGGCAATGGCAATGACAGAGTATGTAATGNATTCTTAGTGGAAGTCCAAACAAATGCTGGCTACATACACTGTACAAGCAACGCATGCGTAATAACCTGGAGATTAGGATTGCAGGCTCCTCTTGTTACCCGCAACAAGGCATTTTTAATTACAGACAATTAAGAAAATGACATGAATGAAAAAGACAATATGGCAATGGCAATGACAGAGTATGTAATGCATTAAGATTGAAGACTCAAAAACTTACTTGTTGTTTTAAATGTTTCAAAATGGTAGCATTATTAGCCATTTCTAAAAGTTCTTCTCGAAACACCTGGTGGGAAAGTATTTCTTCTGGAATTTTTGGAATATGAGCTGCCAAATTGAGACAAAAATCAGACTGTTAATTTATGACTAATTATATACATGAGGGCAAATAAACAGTTTTATACAACATGAGGAACTTTTCTAGATTCAATACTATCAAAAAAGGAAGTATTTAAAGAATTAATAATATTAAAACAAACAAACAAAAATAATTAAATTTATCTTTGAAAAAGAAAAATAGCAACTCTGAGATCATAAACCATTATTTTTAAATATATATTCTACTACATATCACATTCCTAACATAATATTTTAATTTTTTTCCAAGTTAGATGCTGTGCAAAAAGACCTGACTTATAATAAAAAATACGTTTTTATTCTTCATCTTCCAGTCTCTGAACCTTTTTTTTTTTCATGCCAGAATGAGGAAACCCCTTTTGAGCATTCAAACAGTCTATATTCAAATACATGTAAAAACAATATTCACCTTTGCAGCATGCCTTAACTTTCTCTATCAATTTTGTTACTTTTTCTTGGGAAACAGAATTTAATGAAACCTGAAGATAAAAAAAAATATAGCTCAGCTGACAGAAGGTGAATGCAGGCAAATAAGTGCCATAATTACAGAAATAGAGGTTAAATCTTTGTTGAATCCAGAAAAGTATCATTATTTTTAGCAAACGAACCATTTTTGTCTAATCCATTTCAATCCTTATGTTTTTGTTTGCTTGTTTGATTGTTTACTGTTTAGGCTGGTTATACAATTTTCCGTTCTTGGCTAAGAATGTCAAAGATATTTCAACAGTGTCGGCACTTCCCTCCTTTGGATACAAAATAGCACAAGCTATGATAATCTGTCCCGTTGTTGTGTATAACCCAAACATAATAAACAAACACCTGAAACACAAAATCTAATGTACCTTTTCTGCTAGGGAAAATTCATAATTTGGAATGCCAGAGTTGATGTTTGCACTGTAATAAACCTACAAGAAGTGAAAAGACATGTCCTACTTAATTGCAACTGTACACAAGAAAATGAGCAAGTAGTATGTTGTCCATTACAAACTTCCAGAAGATATTAAAGCTGTACAAAAAGTACAAGTAACGGGAAAAAAGCACAAATATACAGGGCTTATCATGAGAAACTACCACAAAAATAAGCATTATAAGAGGGATGGAATATCCTTTCACATGGGGTTTTGATGTTGACATATTTCACAGCATTGACTGTAAACAAAGTACAGTATTGTATTAGAACATACAAGGGGAACTAGTTCCTTCAGTTACCAGAGAGATGAGTATAAAACTTCACAAGAAAGCACCAGCAATGGCAGTGGTTGTGGCCTACTACATGCACAATTCAAGAGTGTTACACAGAAAAGTTTTGTTTCCTTCTTTACATATACGTATATGTAAATGTACTTACAAAATTGTGTTACCACCGAAATGCAGTGGCCCATTAACATGGCTGCACGTATTGTCTTGCAAAGGCTTCTCACAAAATTTACCACTACAATAAGTTTGTTGAAATTACAGCCTGAAATTTTCCATTAATTGGCACAAACTGCAGAAAATAATATTGAGCCTTATTACTGGTAGGTTGCATCTTTAAAAGAAGATGCTGTTATGTTGTTAGTCTATTATCTACATGGTGTATATACACATGTAATTTGTAAATCTTCACAAACTTACCACATGAATCTTTTTTGTTTGATTGCATTTCTTAAGATGCCTCTCCAGCTGATCTTCATAAACAGTGCTATGATATCATGAAAAATGCACATTCAGCAAACTATAACTAAATGCAATTAATATTATAAGAAAAAAATAATGAGAAGGAACTTCTTTGCCAGATGTCAAAAATTATAAGAGGTTCTGACAAATAGCGGCTGCATAGAAGGGCAAGGAAGTGGTGTGGTTAAAATTATAAACCAGCCTGCATGAGAAGGGCATACATAATTGTTTCTATACACTGCAGGGCTGTCATTAAGAGCCGGGCGGCCAGGGATTTCCCCCAGCGTCTATCAGTGTGGCCCCCGGCTACTTTTATTGGAAAATAGAAGAAAACTAGAACCAACAGATATCTGATATCCCTAGCTGTTTGACTCCCCGCCTACTTGTTGTATTTACCAGGCAACTTGAAATCTTAGTGACAACCCTGCACTGTATGTTTGTTGGTAGTTTTTTGGTAAACACTCTTTGTGCACACCAAAATCTTAGCATTGCACACAATTAAGTACCTGTTACTAGTTGAATGACACCGAGGAACTACAGTTGAACCTCAATATAATGAAGGGCCAAGGGACTGGCAAAATGTGTTCACTATATCAAGGCTACATTATATCAAGGTTCTTTTCCATATACTTTACTTCTAGTGGGGTAGAGAAAATTGTTCATTTTAATGAGGACTTCGTTATATAGAGGTTTGTCATATTGAGGTTCCACTGTATCATATGCTATTTGCAATACAGCAGTTCAGTTGGAATGCAGTGGTCTGCAATGCACACAGTAATATCTACCCCAGCACAAGCACGATTTCTTTGAGTTCTTCCAAGCTCAGCTACGGATCAGCTAGATTGGGCCAAAAATGTTAAATCCCCCTTCCCACCCTCATAACCCAGGTAAGTTTACCGACCCATTTGCCCCCAGATAAGCAGAAAATCCATCACTGGATGCGGATATCACTTTTTAATAAGCCAAAGATAGGGGTGCAAAATAGAAAAAAAAAGGAACCTGATTTAATCAGAGGACTGAGGTTAGTATCTCTGTCGAGTTGTTTCGAGAATTAATACATCAAGCTAGCCTTTAATTCTTACTGTTTCTTGTCCAGAGGACACGTAATCCTTTTACGACCATCCACCTGTATTAAACATAAAAGAAATTAACTTAATTAAAGAACGTTAAATTTACAGTAATTTTTAATATTAAACACACTGACACGAGCTTGTACTGAAGCTGTACGTAGAACCAAAACAATGTCTCAAAAATAAAAAAGGTTCCTTACTTCAGCCTCTCCCGCAACGACCATATGTTCTCCGCAATATCTCCTTCCTCCTCCAACCGTCATTCGACAAAAGCGATTTTTTCTTTTTAAGAAAAATGCACACGACTTTCTCTCAGCTATCTCAACGCCGTCCGCCATTTTTAGTTGAACAACACTTGCGCCAAAGTGACCAACCGCTGACAGCAAAACTGGTTGTTCAGAAAGAGGAGGCGAGGCGGAAAGTTTAATAAGGCGCTAAGCGCGGAGGGCAAGACGACGGATTTCGACGATTTTTTCTCTGAAATCTACGTTCATTTCGATTTTAAGGGTAAAATCTTCAGAGATATCGTACCAATTATAGGTAATTATTAAAAGGAACAATCGTTATAAATTATCTTACACCGGAGCCGATTACTCCGGTCAAACATGAATTGCCTGCAGTTCAACAATACCCAACAAGGATTGGAAACCCAGAAAACTTTTAAAGAACGGAATCAGGACTTGGAATGCTCTCCTTCTTATCTGCAAACAGCGTCTTGTATGGATGATAACAATCGGCACATTTGACTACTGTATTTTGGAATAAAAAATAAATGGAATAAACTCAAGTAATAACTTGTTTTCGCAATGACTGCAATGCAATATCTCGAGTTCTACTTGAAATTAATGTATATAACGTTTTGGGGTCCAAAATCAGGGTAGAAATCTCTTTTGCGAATTCCTTCTCTAAACAGGATAAATCGAACGCACCCATTACAGTGTGATAGAACAGCGGCAGGGGAGAGCTTCTCGCACGTCTCCAACGTTATTTAAAATTCCTATTCTCACTGGGGCCATCTCGTACAAACGCCCCAAATCCCTGCGGGATTCAAGGATAAAAATTCCCGCGCACTCGCAGTCTCCTGGGTGTTCTGTTTCACACAGGTTTTCTATAAATAGGCCTGTTTTGGCCTGCTTAATTCTCTTTTCGTTAAACGTTCGCCAGTCGTTAACTTGGCGTCCCTCCCTCCTCCCCGCAGCGATGACCGTTGTTGTCATCCTAGCTACAATTGTAGCTCCCACTCCTTTTCGCCTCCGGACTCGCTTCTCCCCATATCTTATCCTTGCCTGGGGCGTTTGGGAGTGCGGGCTCCCAGTGGGAATTTATTACTTGCTACTTTCTTGAGCGATGTTCATTACACTGTTTAGTTTAAAAAAGCAAATAATGAAGCCGTACTTATGTCTCTTTAATTTGTTTTATTTTACTTCATTTCTGTTATCTTTATTCTATTCATTGACTTATGGCATCTAAGGGTAGTCTGAGTATAAGGCGTTTCTGGGGTAAACAGGGAAGAAAGAAGCGAAAAAGGGAGAGGGTGACATGAAAGGAGAGAAACGCCTTCCTCTCTCGTCCCCCTCCCCAATCCCCCTCCGCACTCTAAAATCTCCTCTTCCCTAACCCCTAAGGAAGGTCTAATACTGAAGCTATCTAAAGAGTCGGCATTTTACTGACACCGAATAATACTTTTCCGCTTATCCATAATTTAATTTAATTTAAAACTGTTTCCTTGGTGTTGCTGGAGACGATCATGCCGAGAGAAAAAAATTACTCGACTGCACCGATTTTAAAATACTTAAAACTATCTCCTCGCTACCCTTATACCACAAGAAGTGTAAGGGAAATAGTATGGAGATTGTGCTGATTTTGACGACAAGGTGGTTAAGCCGGAATACTTAACGATATATCGAAATGTCTGTTTGAGGCTTCAACTAGTGAAGTACTTGGCAAGCTTGGAAGTTTTGTAGTCGACTCGAAGTTGTACAAACTGCTGAAGAACGGCTTTGTCTAGAGTTGCCTAGGAGCAAAAGACAATGGTTACAAGTCAGCAGTTTGGAGGGCTATAATAAAGAGCTTTAGATTCCAGGACGAGGACGTTTATGACATTTAATTTTAAGCTTTCTCGCCTGTTCTCTAAAATAGAAACCCGGAAAGCTGCATTTTACTTTTTTCTCACCACCAAAGTTAGCATAGCCTGCGAAAACATCCGTTTCTTCTCGCTCTCCGCATCCCTCAGCGGATGTTTGCGCAGGCTAAAGTTAGCACGCTTATTTCGCCACTACGACATTCTTGCTAAAACTCGTAGTAGACTGACGACGGTTATCACATTTTCCCGCCAAAATGACGTTGGTTCGCGCGCGAGCACTTCTTAGTATTGAGAAAATCTTGTTCCCGTCGTCGTCCTCGTATAAGAATTTAAAGCTCTCCAATGAGTAAATACGGTCAAACCTCCATGTGCTACCACCTCCCATAAGCGACCACTTATCCAAAACACCAAAATTTTCCCTGTCAAAGACTTATAGATACATGGTCTGATCTTTGTGTTGGTACATGTACTAAGTTGCTCAGAGTATGAGAAGATCTTTGAGAAACAACATTGATTTACATATATTGTAACCTAAGAATGCATACAATACATTCTCTCCAAGAAGTAGATGTGTACGGGCTTCTCCACGTAAAGACCTCCTGTGGTTGGCTTTTCGTAAGCAACCACTAACTCTTCGTATTTTGGGTGGTCGATTACGAAGCTTCGACTGTGTGGCAATGTGAAGGGCTCAGCAGTGTGATTAATTCACGCGAATCACACTATTTTTTGCTCTAAATCACATCTGTTCTACATCGCATCATTTCTGTTTCGAACAAAAAGTGAGATGTAAAAGCGTTTCCGATTCCACTTTTTAACAATCCGGCTAGTGAATCGATAAAATATTGGTAGAGAATTGGAACTGAATTTTGCAATTTCAAAATAGCTGTAATACAGTGGTAACTGAACTTCGTGTCGTGCAATTTTGGTCTGAAATCATACCTGTTACACTCCACTTAGTTCAATTGCCATTATAACTAACATGATAGATTTACCTATCAGACGATTCAGAAACTAGCGAGTAACGAGGCTGTAATTCCCCAAAATCTCCTGACCTTTTTTATCTTCATTCAAAAACGGTATAAACAACCACACAAGACAAACGTACCAGCTGTTCTTCCGCACAAACTTGCTTGAGGTTTTCAGGTTGCACGACCAGTAAGTTTGTCAGAGAGTAGAGTTTATCGAACAGTTTCACGAGCAATGGTCTCTAGAGAACGATAAAATACACCAATATTGAACAAAAAAGATGAGCAATACAACATTTTTAGAAGGACTAAGGCATAACAAAACGCTTCTTCTTTTCCTGATGAAAATTCCTTGAGGGAAAGCATGGTCTAGATATTTCTATATCGCGGAAAATTCTTAATCCAGGGATATGATGCCGGATCCAACACAATCTAACAGCTACGTGCTTTTCTAGGCTCGATTACCAGCCGCTGTTCAGGAAATGAGCCCGCTCTCTTCCCCCGGGGAATGAACAAAACCGGACCCAAAATAGTAGCCTGTACACGTGGAAGGATGCGTCATCTCTCTCCCCGATTCTTTTTAAGGGGTGGGGGGGAGCGTCTGTACACAGGCTTCTAAAAGAGCGGTGAAAATCGAGCTTAAGCTTCAGTTGCTTGTCATTTTTTAACAGTTACTCATACCTAGAGTCGTAGAGGACTTGAACACACTTTTCCTGGCCACTACGAGGTTGGACAACGGAGACTGGATCGGTGTTATGACGAAATGCACTATGAGGGCTGTTTTAGGAAAGCTATGGCCTTTTCAATTGGCTATTACGCGTTTTCAAAGGGAGACTGGGTCAAAAATGTCCCTAGAATAGTCCCACAGTGCAATTCGAGACAAAACCGACCCAGTCTACTGCGCAACCTTTTAACATGGCCAATGTACAAGGTAATTATTACAGATTTCCAAAACCTTGTTCAGTTTGACAGCTATAGACCCTACAGACCCTTTTGACATGACGTCACGTCCGCCATGTTCGCGTCCCAAAACAATAAAACAGCGGGCATGTTGGTATTTCAAACCAATCCCGTGGTAGTTGAACCCTTTTCTAATGTGAAGGCTTTCTTTTGTTGCAATAAATCTACACAGCTACTGGTCACGTTAGTGAAAACGCTCTATTTTTTTTTTGCACAACTTGACACTTCGATATACTAAACAGCTTTCATGTAGATACCCAATACATATTCGACCCTACCTGAGTATGCTAGAGATCCATTTTATAGTTAGGGACCCTGGTTCAAGGGATAGATGTCCTTAGGGGCTCGTCATACTCAAGAGTTCAATAGAAACTGAACGTTTAATCTACTTCGTTAGGAAAACGTAATGAGTAGTAAAAATGTACCTCAAATTTTTTTATACAATTTCTGTATTCACTGATATCACATATGGCTACCATTGCCCCTAAAAAACACAACAGGAAAATTAATCTTCACTTTAGTATAATATTAATATAACAAAAATGTATAATTTCTTCATTAACCCTTTAAGCCCCAAGATCCACACACAAATTCTCCAAACTGATCTCCATACATTTCTTCTAAGAACAGTTGAGAAAATTTGGTGTAAGATCAAAGAGTTCTCCCTCTGGTAATCAGTTTAATAATTCTCATAACCTTAACTGTTGATGATGTGCTGATGTTGTTAGGAGAAAATTGATGTTGGTCACTCTTGGGACCTAATGGGTTAAAGGTCTGAGGAGACGTTTTTTCAAATTCACCCCGCGAGCAGAGCCTCCTTTTGTTGAGGAGGAGAAAAGGAGGCTCTGCCTAAATCACATTAAGCCTTTAACATTTTAGCCCCGATATCCACTTACAAATTCTCGAAACTGATCTCCAGACATTTTGTTAAAGAATTAGTTGAGAGAATTTCATAAAAGATCAAAGTATTTTTTCTGAGGTGATCATTTTATTAAAGCTCATTACCTTTTCTTTTGATAATGCATTGATATTGCGAGGAGAAAGTTGATGTTGGTCACTCTTGGGATTTCAAGGGTTAAAGTGGCCGAAGCCCGAACCTCTGGACTAGTAAATCTTGTTCTGTGCCGTCAAACTGGTTTTTTGAGTGCGAGCACCCGTTTACTGATAAACTGTTGGTCATAACTGAGCCCGCTATACCAAGCGCACGACTGTTAGGCCTGGGTTTGAAACTATATCCCAGGAAAATGCCGCTCATGCTCAACAAACGGGTCATGCAGAGTCTTTCTCGAATAAACCAAAATCGAGTAAGCAAAAGAAAGGCTCTGCTATCAGAGTGGAA